GCTCTTCATTTTTCAGTAAATCAATTTCATGTAATACATTCAGTGGGGCTCAGCTTCCTAACAATCACTTCCAAAGATATACTCTCTCTAAACTTACTTTGTTTTGGTAGTGAGAATCCTTTTCAAAAAGGATCTGAAAATCTGGCCATCTCGTCTTCTTATATTTGATGATACTTTCTGTTCCAGTAGACAAATCCCGAGATGAAAGAAAATCAATAAAGGTATGCAGGCGAGGATCTCGGTGAAGAGGAATAATTGTGGCTAAAACATAAGCATTCAGAAATTAGTTCAGTATGTTCATGTTTATCCACGGCACCTAAAACTGCTGAAAACAGGCTGACCAACTCTAACGAGTAGACGACAATTCTGTAAGGATAGATGGAACTTAGAGACAGGTATAAAGGTTTGGATTTAACATTATAGGGCCAGAAGAAACAGTCATAGATAAACGAGTTGTGGTAGGTAAAGGCATGATTAATATAGAAACAGAATACTCCAGCCAACAACTATTTGAAATTTATCTTTTCTGTGGAGAGATTGTTATGCCATTATGAGTATACAAATATTATAAAACATGGATACTATGAAGAAGGAACTTGTAAGTTAGCTGTGTAACTGATATTTATGGGTCCAAAAAGGGGCAAGAAACAGAAAGGGGAGAAATTTTGTCCTATACTTTAAACATTACAAAACCCCCCTACACAATTCAAGATGAAGCCTACATCTAAATACAGAACACATCAATACACTTCTAGGAGTGTACCCAAGCATGGTGGCACATGCTTTTAGTCCAGCACTCAGGAAGCAGAGACAGGTGAATCTCTGCGAGATCCAGGCCAGCCTGGTCTACATATTGAGATCCAGGCCAGCCTGGTCTACATATTGAGATCCAGGCCAGCGTAGTGAACATATTCAATTCCAGGCCGGCTGGGGCTGTAGGGAGACCCTGTCTCAAAAAGACCAAACAAATGAAGACTTCTAGGAGAAAATCATTGTGACATTGACTTAAAGGATTTTTAGGTAAAAAAATCAAAAGCATAATCCATGGTAGAGAGTAACTGATGTGCTATCCTTTATAAAAATGAACTGCCTTAGCTCTGTAAAAGAGAATGAGGACATAAAGCAAAGTGCTGAAATGCTTGTGGATAATGTAGCTGATAAAGGGCTTGATCTGATGTGCATAAAAGACCTCTCACGACAGCAAGCAGACCATCATCAAACAATTAAAAGAGGGCAAGAAACTAGAGGAAACATTTGACCAAAGAAAACATAGAGCTGGACATTAGGGTAGGGAAATATAAATCATATATTATTAGGAAAACGGAAATTACCAAAATGACATATCACTACACATCTATTAAGATGGCTGAAATAATTTTAAAAAATATTTTATTATTTTTATGTGTATGAGTGTATTGCCTGCATGTAGGTAAGTGCACCTGTGTTGTGCAATGCCCGCAGGGGACAGAAGAGGCCATTGGATTCCCTGGAACTGGAGTTACCAACAGTTGTTAGCTGCCATGTGGGTGCTGGGATTCGAATCTGGGTCTTCTGCAAGAATAACCAGTGTTCTTAATCAATGAGCCATTTCTCCAGCCCCTGAAATAATTTTTTTTTTAACTTGAAAATAATGCTGGTGTCGGGTGTGGTGGTGCACGCCTTTAATCCCAGGACTTGGGAGGCAGAGGCAGGCAGATCTCAGGGAGTCTGAGGCCAGCCTGGTCTACACAGTGAGGTTCAGGCCAGCTGGGGCTACAGGGAGATCCTGTCTCAAAAAGAGCCCCCCACAAGCAAAACAAAACAAAAACAAAAACAAAACAAAAAACCCCGAAAATAATGCTGGTAAAGATCTGGAGAAACTGGAAATTTTCACACACAGCAGGTAAGAACACTAAGTGATACAACTACACTGAAAAATAACTTAACTCTTCAAATAAAATTAAACATACTCCTACCATATGATCCAGCAAGGCCGACGGCTAGTTATTCAAGAGAAAGGAAAAGTTATACTCACCCCCAAATTGCATGTGAGTATGCATGGAAATTTTAATGTAACTTGAATAAGAGGAATTAAGCGAGAACCAGCTCTCACTGTTCTCTGCTTCCTATTACAGACACCATGTGACACCATCCCATGCTCCTGCAATCATGCCTTCCCCACCATCTGGGCTGCACCTTCAATATGTGAACCAAAACAAACCCTTCTGCAAGTGGCTTTGTCAGGATTTTTTTCCCACAACAATCTCAGGGGGTGGGGAATTGAATATTTAATAAATAATGCTTGGACTGGCAAATGATCAGTCATTTTGGGAAGAAATTAAAAGTGAAGTCCTACTTCAAATATATGCCAAGTAGATTTCAGAGTAATTAAATATTTAAATGTAAAGTGAAAATCATAATAGAATTAGAAAAGAACTGAATGTTTTTTATTAGATGATCACTGGGAAGGCCTTTCTAACTATACCCTGAAGCCTTTTTAAAAAAGCTCCAAAAATATTATTCTTTAAAAAATAATTTTATGAGTTGGAAAATGTCACCATAAATTCAGATAAAATCTTAATATTTGTAATTCACATTAAAAAGTAGAGGTTAAGTTTCTTAATCCAATTTTAAAATTCATATTAAACATTAAAGGTTATTTTTCTTAATCTAAATAAGGACTCCTAAAAACAATTGGCTTTTGACCTAATAATTTTATTTTCATGGAATTGTTCTGAGAAGATTCAATAGAAGCAGATGCTATGTGCCAGAATATTTTAACTAAGTCATTATTTACAGCAATGGACACTTGAGAATAATGTGTCTAATATTACACCCGAAGCTAGGTATATGCTGGCACACTAATGCAATAGAATATTTTACAACCATGTGAATGGTAATTAGAAGAACATATACTGCAACTGGAAAATATCAGATAACATTTTTAAATATAAATTTGATTATTGCCTAAGTACATAGACAAAAGCAAAAAAAGTTATTCTATAAGTATTTAAAATCACAGGGTATTTTTAAAATTTATTTTTAATTTGTTTTTATTGAATTTTGTGTATTTCATACAGAATATCTCAAATGATCTTTATTATCTTTATACCTCTGTCTCCACTGGCACCTTTCCACAGCCTCCCCCCCCCCGGAACCCATATACTCTTGTCATCCGTGTTAAGGCCCACCATGTCAAGTCAGTGTCCCCAGACGTTCCCCCATATTTTTAAAATTTATTTTTAATTTGTTTTTATTGAATTTTGTGTATTTCATACAGAATATCTCAAATGATCTTTATTATCTTTATACCTCTGTCTCCACTGGCACCTTTCCACAGCCTCCCCCCCCCCGGAACCCATATACTCTTGTCATCCGTGTTAAGGCCCACCATGTCAAGCCAGTGTCCCCAGACGTTCCCCCATGCAAGTCCATCCACTGAGGCCTAGTCAGCCTATCTAGAATCCCTTGTTTTAGGAAGATCAGCTCTTCCTCACCTAGCAGTAATCAGTTACCAAGATTTCTTCAGCTAAGATTGGAATCTACTGTTCATTTTCCCACTTCTGTGCTGGGTTATTGTTGGCCTGAGTTTGCCCAGGACTTGTGTATCCTGACATTATTGCCATAGAATTATATGAGCAGGGTCCGAAGAGCTTGTAGAAGTTTCCATATGGTTGTGCACCTCTTCCCTGGCTCTTACAATCTTTCCGCCCACTCTTCTGTGATGATCTCTGAGTCCTGGGTGGGTGAAGTTTAATGTAGGATTTCTGTCCAAGAACAAGCATTCTGTAGACTCTTAATCTCTATGTTTTGTGTTCCTGGCCTTCTGTTGCATGAGGGAGCTTCATTAATGAGATTTGAGAGATTCACTAGTGTCCTCTTCTTTACCCCTGTTCTATGTTCTGTGAACCTTAGGTGTAGAGGTTGCATTATAGATGTGTAACTTAGGCCTGGGCAATTCATAGACAATGTCTGTGTGTGACCAGTGTGGTACTTGGTAATAGTCTCAGACTGGTACAAAATAAGCTTCTTTGATGAGTGGTGATGGGGATATATAATACATATTTTGCATACAGTAAGAAATTACATTAGTCTAGGGATGTGACAGTCTTGGGATTTTCTCTAAGATCTAGGACCACTCCAGCCATGTGTATTTGGTTATGTTTACAGTACCACACTTGAGTTTCCTCCCATTGAGTGGGCTTTTAGTCCAGTTAGGAAGCTGTTGATTGCCACCAATATAAAAGTGCCACCACTGCACCAATGTCATATGCTATGCTGGTCATTGATGTGGTTATTTGGTCTTGAAGCTAGTGTTAAACCATTGATTGATGTTTTCTGTTGGCATCTTCATAGTGCTCTCCACAGCTCTGAGAGCTAGCCTTCAGGGGAAGTGACTTCCAGGTCAGTTCCAGCTCCATTGCTCCAAATCCCGTGTCCGAAGTATGTTCTGTCTTCAGCAGCAGGGTCTTACCTTCAAGTTCTGTGATGCAATCAAGGACTGCGGCAATAGCCTGTGTAATTTTGGGTGTCTCTTGGACCACCCTGGCCAACAACTCAAAGGACGGTTTCTCCTGTCTGAAGAGCCGATATTCTTTAAGGTAGTGACACTAGACAGACAGAAGAGGCTCCGGTGGATGAACTCACACCGAGGAACCTTTGGGTGTACAAAACTGACTCAGTAGGCCTTAACATATATGACAAAATACATGAAGTTCTGTGGGCGGGCTAGGGGAGTTACAAATAAGGGAGGGGGGCACCTAAATATGATTAACATGTATGAAATTCACAAATATTCAATAAACTTTTTAAAGTAACAACATCTACCACAAGAAAACAGTTTTCCAGACAGTTGGGAATTTTTGCATCTATGTTCGTTAAGAATATGGGTCTATATTTCTTTGTTGTTCGTATTTTTACCTGGTTTGGGTATTAGAGTGATGCTGGCTTCACAGAAGGAATTTGGAAGTTCTCCCTCTGTTTCTATCTTTCTGAATAGATTAAGCAGGATTGGATATAGATCTTCTTTAAACATTTGGTAGAATTCTGCTGTGAATCCATCTGGGCCTGGGCATTTTTTAGTTGGGAGGTTTTGTATTACTGTTTCAATTTACTTATGTGTTATTGGTCTGTTAAAGCTGTAAATCTTGTTTATCTTTTCCAAGAACCAGTTCTTGGATTTTTTGATTCTTTGTATTGTTTTCTGTTTCAATTTCATTAATTTCTGCCCTGATTTTTCTTATTTCTTCTTGTCTGCTGCGTTTGGGTTTCGTTTGCTGTTGCTTTTAAAATGTGTTGAGTTGCAGTGTTAAGTCATTTATTTGTGTTCTTTCCGATTTTTTGATGTAGGCACTTAGAGCTATAAACTTCCCTCTAAGAACA